CACTACTACTGTTGCTGCTAACATGATGGCCCTGATGTCTCGGAATCTCATCCAAAAAGTAGACTCCATTCACCTCACGACCACTCCCAATCATCTTCTTTGACTCCAGATCCTGCAAAACACAATTACTAGGAAGAAAGGTCACAGAACAATTCAAATTTTTTGTCAAAGAACTAACAAGTAGTAGGTTGGTATGAAGTCTAGGGACATGTAAAACAGAAGATATAGTTATATCATTGGTCACTCTAAGTGCCCTCTTCCCAACAATGGGCATATGTGAACCATCTGCTATAGAGACTTTGTCTCTACCAGAGCACAACCGATAGGAACTGAAAAAGGTAGGGGCATTAGTCATATGCTCAGATGCTCCTGAGTCTATAATCCAGGGAGGTCCCTCCTTACCTGAAGTGGATGCAAGATTTGCAGTTGTATATGAACTACTTGTATGTGCAAAGGAAATTGTGTAGTTGGCTCTTGCATTCTGCTGTCCATCTGGAAGGCTAGAGCCGGGTGAATCTTTCTTACTCATAAGCTGTCCAAACCTCTCCAATTCTGTTCTCACTGCTGCTATTGCAATGGATTCCCAATCAGTTTGGGAGAGAGGGGTTGAAGAGTCTTCTGTAGTGGCTACATTTGCATTTCCCTTCTTGTTTCTTATTGGAGCAGGCATAAGATTTGGATGAAGCTTCCAACAAGTGTCCTTGGTATGCTTAGGCTTCTTGCAATAATCACACACCAAGTCCTTCTTATCTTCCCTTCTAGTATCACTACTCCCCTTGTCTCCATTCGGCTTAGGTTTTGTTGTACCAACCATAGCCGATTGGTCAACCAGGCTGCCTTAGCATTATATTCCTCCTACTCTCCTCTCTAGAGACAAAAGCATAGGCCTGAGAGAGTGTCACACCCTCCCTAGAAAGAATATGCTGCCTAGTAATGTCAAATTCAGGGTTCAGCCCTGCCAAGAACTCAAAAACCCTATTCCTCTCTACTAGTCTGTGATAAGTTGCTGCATCATTTACACTTTCCCATACCACAGTTTTTAAGTGATCTATTTCCTGCCATAGGGTTTTCAGCATAGAGAAATACACAACAAGAGGTTTTTCTCCCTGTTTCATACTTGTCACTTGATTTCTTAACTGATAGGCTCTGGCTTCATTTTGCTTCTGAGAGTAGGTTTTGGTCTCTCCATTCCAAATCTCCTTAGCAGTATTAACCCATAGGATTTTTTTTGCAATATGAGGTAACATAGAATTACACAAGCAGGACATTACCATGTAATTCTCTTGCACCCGTCGGGAAGAGTCTGTATCAGGTTTCTTCTCCTCCCAAGTGAGATATCCTAATTTTCCACGGGCACCAATAGCCAGTCCATTTTACTTCAAACAGTTCCACAGTATCGGTAGATTTCGTCTTGGTATTCCAACTCTCCATTTTACTTCAAACAGTTCAACAATAAGAAAAAAATAGATTGGAGACCTTCAAAAAATAATTTAATATCACACATAGAAACCAACCCTTTCGGAAGAAGAAAACCCTAGTTGGAGGGAAATCTCTCTCCTCCCCACGCCTTCCAACAGAGAGAAAAGTGAATCGATCACTCTGGGAAGCCTAGAAAATTCTAGAAACCAAACCGCCCTCTTCAAAAAATTAAAAGAAAACTAACAATACCTGGGCACCCAAGATTAGATAAAAAACAAAGAGTCCAACTTTTTTGGAACTCTTCCCCGTACTCTAGTTCTTCCTGATTTTGATGCCGAACAATAGATCACCTTCCTGATGTCTAGATCCCACCAAAAACTCCAAGAACTGGGCAATCTATAGCAGATCGATCAGTCCTTTACTACTTCATGCAGTTGGCTGATCTAGGGCTGTAGGAGAATGCTTCAAGAAACCCTAGCCGATGCTCTGATACCAAGTAGGAATCTGCTGAATTAAAAAATATGAAAGAAAGTAGTTTCTTGAAGAGAGAAGGAGAAGAAGAGAAGTTTGAAAGAAAAGAGAGCAAAAATCTGGCCGCTCCCTTCACTTATTATTTATACTAAAATAATAGAACAGTACAAAGACAACTATGCCCTTATAGGGCGGCAAAACATAAAACAGCATCTATAACACACAAAAACATGATAAAATTTGGACTCACATAACTACTGTGGTCCCTACCTCCTATCTAACAACTAACATAAAACATCTACTCAGAAAAACATCATAAAACTAATTAATCTTCAACAGTGTAGATATGCAATTTGGAGAAAATTTTGTGCTCTTAGATGTGGATTTGAGTGTGTATAAATTGATTTAGACGATTACATTTTGATATGCAAAACCCATTAAGTGCCTTCAAAATTATGTGAGTTGTATTTGCATCAATGTCTTCAAAATATGAGGTTAAATTTCTTGAAATTATACTTTTATGCTAGAGCTGAATGCTATGTGCATCACCGTAGATTGAAAAAGCTATTTGGAAGCCTGGCAGAGCTAATCCTAGGATTCATTGAACAGCCTTCTAATCTATCTTATACTTTTTGAAATGTGGCCAATCACATGATGAATATAATGCCACCACCTAAAAGATAACATGCAAGCCTTAAATGTGCATATACATGGGCATGCACTTCTAATAGGGATCAAATTGGATTATGTCTAGGAAAAAAAATCATCACATTTCTTGCTGGAGTCAGTAAATGTTTTGTCACTTTGTTTTGCTTTACTTGCAGAAAGAGTGTAATCCTTTTAATTTTAACTATCTATAGAAATGGAAATAAATGGCATTGTTCTAGGATATATCATGTTTTAGTCAAGGTTCAAAATATCGATACAACCGATATGCATGAACTTGTGTATCAGGTGTTTCATTGGCTTGTAACTTTTTTTTTTTTTAGTTTCTTTTGGTCAGG